ATGTGTCCTTACTCGATATTTGCGCTCGCGCCCCTCGAAGGGATATACGAGAGGGTAGGCAATCAACCCTGGCTCTTTTCCAGCTGCAAACCAGTCAATTATCTGATGAATTACTTCTTCATTGAGGTAAGTGGTAGAGTTAATATGCAGAATATTCGCACTCTCACATTTTGTTCGCAATCGGTGGCTTTCAGATTCGGATAGGGCATTTAGATCCACTTTTATAATCTCGTCGAATATACCGGCCTTTTTTCCAAACTCAAGAGCCGATGCACTTACATCTACGCCAACAGTCTCTACTGGAAATGTTCTGGGCTTGATAAGCTGATAACACGTCGTCTCAGATGCCCACGTTTTTGCAAAGTCCTGCAAATCAAACACTATACTGAACTATTACATTCTATAAACAATTATAATTTCAATACGAGGCCAAACTGTGCACTGGATAGGAGCACAATTTTGTGTCTGTATGTTCCTGGATTCCAGAGACAAGTCTTTAAAATTTTGTCGAAACGATCAAAGAGAAGGAAAGAACAAAAGAAGAACAAAGGGAGCGTCCTTGTTGCGGAATCCGCTTACAATACACAAAATGCACAGTTTGGCCTCGTAATGTTGAAGACAAATAATGAAACGTTTAGGTACAAATGGGTAGAAAAAGGACCTCTTGATAGTAGGCATTGGTGTATGATAGTGTATCATTTCCATAGCAGCAGAGTACGTCCAGGAACTTCAGGGGCTTTTTCAGAGCTGTAGCCCATTTCTCGAAGATAGGGAGTAGATTTCTTTCGCAGTGCTTGGCTATAAACTCGTTTCGTTCCACCAACTGTCCGTTCTTCATCAACTAAATTTTAGTGCAAGTTTTTCATCCTATTTCTGAAGTGCCAAAAACAAGTGCTTTGAGTATAGTTTTTTGCTCTATAAATGCTCACTCGTTTACAAACAATTTTTGACCAAAATTCAAAAAAATATCCACAAGATATTGGTGCCATGAATTGCTGCCATACTGGTGCCATGAATTGCTGCCATACTGGTGCCAGAATTTAAAAATTTGCTGTCAACCTTGAAATAGACTAATTGAGATTAGACTAATTGAGAAATGGCAGAGAAAGCAATCTCATCTACTATTTATACAAAACAAACAGCTTGGATCAGGGTGAAGCTCTGAATGTTTCGACTGCTTTTGGACTAGTGTCCATTTTAAAGAAAAAAGAACAAAGTTAGAAAAAAAACTAAATATATTTTCTATGAAAAGCATCCACTTTTTTATGAAAACCATCCACCCACACGCTCGCTAAGTTGAGTAAAAAAGGATTTAGTTTGCAAATAACAAAGTGATAAGTACAACAAATAGCATGCCTCAAATGAGTTTAGAAGGTTTTCTAAGCCGGGTTAAAATTCCACTTACGCGTTAGCAACACGAACTTATATCACACATTATTAGGACTAAACTGGCAATCAGTAGAAACTTTGAGCCATTTGCTATCATTGATCAAAGGTGAACTATATATTTTGTATATTTAGGCTCAAGACAGCAATACCATTTCAAATAGTGTTAAAAAAAATCCCGTCAAAAATTGATAATTGAAGAGTCGAACTTGTCCGGAGAAAAAAACAGCCTTGTGCAAAACTATTCGTTTGCTAGTAAAATTGCCCCAATTCAACTTGTCTCAGCTTATTTTGTCCGACACCAGCTTTCCCCACAAGTCAAAATGTTATTTTGTCTCATATAAAAAACGTTTAAAGTTTGCCACAGATTCTTTGATATTCTCGTAGAACAAAAGTCAGCATAGTTGTGAAAGGCCTTCTTGGTGAAAAAAAAAACAATTTTAAACAAAATGCGGAATCAATAAAACATGCGCTGAACGAACATGAGTTTAAAACATGCATAAGCAAAGTGAAAACCGCAAAACTTCAACCAATTAAAATTCCAGGTTTTCAATTCGAGTTAATTTTTCTAATTTTGTAAACTCACTTGGCTCAGGTGTTAGTACACAACACTAATAGTCAAAAGTTCAGGATTTCCAAATTCGGAGAATCCAATAATTTTAAATTACAACAATAAAACGGAGAAACGCAGGTACTTCCCCATTCCAAAACTGCTGATAATGGGTATGGGAAAGAGCGGGGTGAGAAAAAAGAGCAAAACTATTAGCAAAAGAGCAGTACTTGCCTCAATCATCCTCCAGTATATGAGCTCTCTACGGTGATTATAACGGTACGAAGTGATGACTTTTTAAAAATCAATCCAAATTGCAACAAATTGCCGACAATTTAAATAAGTTTATGCCGGCACATGATGATTTACGAAAATATTAATTAAGCTATGCCACATCAATAATCAACAACAAGATCTTTGTTAAAATTACAGGAAGTGTTTTGGATTTTTACATGCATATCGTGATGCTTCGTCTGGCCCTGGTTCTGCGTCCTTCCCATATCCTTGAAATTATAGCCTGTATATAGCGTTAATAGCGTTGATTGCGGATTATAGTCAAAATCTTGCATCTAAATAACAATAATCTTGGCTTAGATGAAAACTGAGGCTCAACTTATACCATTTTGAGTTATTTTCTCTTCTTATCTCCAAACAATCTCAGTTTACCATTAGCGTTTGCCGGTCTAAAAATTAATCGATTTGAAAAAAAAACAATCAACTAGAAGTTTTATTTGTGGGAAAGAACGGCATAGGACAAATTGTCAGATAGGGCAGTCTGGGACAAAATTTTTTTTAATGTGCGGCAATTTAGTATAGGGCAAGCTAGCATGGGCCATTTGTCCTGGTTCAAATAGTCCTGACACCAAATATACTGTCACCTTATAAAAATCCTAGGCTAAGTTTTGTACTACCGTGAAATGTAATTTTGAACACAAGAAGAGCGATGTTTCTTCAATTTTTGCACGGTTTCCTTAAAAACTACAAAAAAATTGAGAATCGAAATCAGTTACCCTTACATTACAAAATACGGTACGTTTGCAATTCGTTTTCATCAGATGGCTCAAACTAAAAGTGTGCAAGTTTTTTTTAATCTAATTTTACTGATTTTTTCTGAAATACCAAAAATTATATTAAAATTAAAATTCAGATGAGAAGCAAGTTTTTTGTTACTGTGCACCACTTTACTCCAACTACTTCATTTGCACTGATTTCTTGACTCTTTTTCGCAACAAATCAAAACAGCAATGTTTGCAACAGAACTTAAGTTATTACTTTCGCTTATGGACCAAAAAACTTGATTGTGAAAGATAAGTAAAAATGTGTAATTTTATTCACGAGAATAATATGTCAGTCCACAATTGGCTCTTCAATTAGTTTTGAATAGGCTGGCCAAATTTGGTGCTTCAATTTTTACCGAAAACTTGTCCCAAAAAATTTTTAGCTTTTGTAATATTTAAAAATAAAAATGATGTTTTTGTATACAATTCTATAGACTGCGCTCATTCATCCGGTTTCAAGTTGATAGAATAATAGAAATTAACTTCAAGAATTGATGAAACAGATGCATGTTTTGATCGTGATCGAGGTATGTGAAGACCGTGCTAGAGTTATGTTTCGACCTTGCTCGAACCAAACTCCTGTCTGGACTATTCATTTTCAGCCGAGCGCTGACACGTCCTCGAGGTTGAATGTCGAAACATAAAGTGAGCATCTCGACCCGAGCGAGGAGTTTGTGGTGTGTTAGAGGGATCAGTAAATAAGCGCAGCTTTCTAGCAATTAACATGACGAAATACTTCCATTGCATTTAGTCATATTTTGGAGAATAATTGTTCTAAAATTTTTACTGAAATGAGCAAAAAAGTCTCTCGACATTGAGAAAGATAATAAATTGGCCTGGGATCGTAAGCTAACCTCTTGGTAGTATCGAGTGCAGTCTACGTGAGTGTATTCTGACGAAAAGTCCCGTTTTCTGTCCAAATTATCTTTGCTGGGGCTGGCCATCGTTTTGAAGCGGAGCAAACGGCAACTTGAGAAAAATAAATGGTATGGTTTAGAATTGGTGACTGTAATAGGAAAATTTTTTCAAAACATTTACGCTCAATATACAGATGAGAAAATTTGTGGCAAATGCTATTTTTAGCTTTTCCATAGGATTGATCACACAAAACGTACTCTAACAACAAATTTGCTGTGACCTACCGTAGAATGCCCTCCCCAAGCATGAATTATTTCTGAAAAAAAATTCTGTATAAAATAAGCATTTCCTACAAACAAGCAAAAAAAAATATTTTCTTCTGCCTAAAACGACTTGAGCGGGCGGATTGTACAGTTGATCCGAAATTCATTGTAGCTAAATTTTCCACCTACAACAATTATTTATAGTTTTCAGAAAATTAAACTTTTAATAATTGACACAGAGGGATCAACTGCACAAAAAAATCATCTCTCTAAAGTGACCTGCTTGAATAATCATTCTCTGGAAATCTACATCAGCGCTGATTTCAATCGGACAATCGAAGTAAGATGGAAAAAAAACTTTAAACTCTGAAGTGATATTTCGCAAAAAAAAAACATTTATCCAAGTAGTTCTGTTTTCCCGTTAGTTTGAATCAGCTCCGTGTTAACTTTGATAATTAAATTGTTATGAACGTGAATTTCAAACTAATTCTCACCTGTTTTGATTTAGGTGACGTTTCTAGTGGAAATTATTTGTTCGTTTCTTTATAGGGCTGGTTATTCTTTATTAACTAGGTACCATAGGGGGGGGGGGGGGGCTATTTAAATGTTTATTTTATTTGATTATTACTAAAAAAAGTTACTGGTTTTTTCTGACCTCTTTTGATTTGAGGGTGGATCGATGGTACAGTTGATGCTTTTCACCAGATGCACTTTAAAGTGGCCAATATGAAGAAATAAGATATAGTGAATGTTCGTTCTTTAGCTTAACGGTTTAGTAGTAGTAGTAGTAAAAGACTTTAATTCCATTGGTGGATACAGGATTAATATAAATATTGAATGAACTTACGATCGACAATTTTTACAAAAACATTTGACAAAGAATGTGCATGATCTGTTTATATCAAACAAAGTTGAAGTTTTAAGCAGTAAAAATTTATTCAGTTTTGATTTGAACATTCCCAGGGGCATGTCGAAAGATATAATTTTCAGACGCAGAAGTTCATTGGCAGCACGGGGAGCTCGTACAAAGAAGTTATCGTCAGTTTTCAATTTCCTCGTGTTCGGTATGACGAATAGGCCACTCGTAGCGGAACGCGTAGGAAGCGAGCTGGTTGCACTTTTGCAGTCAACATCAATAACATTGTTATGGAGCTTCCAAAGTAGAAGAATTTCAACTCTAATCAATACATAGCTAATTGGAAGCATATTCAGATTTAGTAGCCCTGAAACATACGATGAACATTTCTTGATCCATCTTAGAACTTTGTACTGGAACAGTTCAAGCTGATGTAATAGTGTCAAAGAAGGGCACCATGCAGGAGCACCGTAAAGTAAGATTGACAGAATGAGAGTATTGTAAAGTAACTTTTTTCGACTGCAGGATACCGAGAAAGGAATATTTCGTTTCAGAAAATAAAACAATCTGGAACATTTTATCAACTTAGTATTCAGATGGGATTTCCAGGAAAGATTGTTGGAGACTATGATACCAAGATCTTTAATTTCATCAACAAATGGTAAGATGTCTGATCCGAGCAAGAATTGGATAGAATCATCATAACCACCAAAGTTCAGAACTTTACATTTGGCAGAATGAAACTGTAAGTGATTGTTAGTTGACCAATTAAAAAGAGAATCGATATCTTTTTGAACTAATGATGGAGCAGATGAGCTATTAATCTTCAGGTCGTCTGCAAATAGATAAAATTCACAATTTAACACATCATCGGTCATATCATTTATAAATAAAATAAACAGAAGTGGGCCGAGAACACTCCCCTGAGGAACGCCCGAGGTAACTGGCAGAGGAGACGAAATTGATTGATTTATTAGCACACACTGATACCGGTTTGTCAGATAAGATTCAAACAACTGGAGAAATTCAAAATCAAAGCCGAGTATAACAAGTTTAGCAAGTAACAAATGATGCCGTACTGAATCAAAAGCTTTTCTCACATCAAAGTAAATGGCTAGTCCAGGAGAATTTTTATCGCAGGAAGAATAAATTGAGTCGAGATAGATGATCAATTGGCTGATAGTACTGCGCGACTTCATGAAACCATGTTGCTGACGTTTGATTAGATGTCTAACTTTTGGATAAGTAAAGTTGAAAAGAATTCTTTCCAGGATAAGGGAAATTCGTGGTAAAATACTAATTGGTCTGTAGTTAGTAATGTCATTGCGAGCATCAGATTTGTATAAAGGGGTAACAAAAGAAGTTTTCCACTGACTAGGCCAGTTTTTGTGTTTCAATATCCAGGCATATAAATCGTAAACGAGGGGTGATATGATATCAGAGCAGTGAGATAACACGAAAGAGGGAATATTATCCGGACCAGTATTACTAGTGTCGGGACAGTAATTCAAAAATGATTCAATATCAGGTAATGATAAGTTAAGATCGTTTAAACAAATCGAAACATTGGAGAACAAGTCTGGCAGTGTGAACATTTCTTGGTCATTGAAAACTGATGCGAAGAACTTGTTGAATCCAGTAGCTTTTTCGAGTTCAGTTGTCAAGGAAATATTGCCGTGATACATGATGGATGGAAGGGCAGAATTATAACCGAGAGTTTTGAGGAGCTTAAAACATTCGCTCGTAGAAGAAAGATTGAACTGATTAATAAAGACCTCTTTGTCCAATTCAATTGATTCAGAAAGATATCTAGTGATATCTTTCAATTTAATTGCCTGCAAATAAGAATTTTCTTTTTTTAATTTGCGAAGTGTTGTTTCTTTCTGATTAATTAAATGAACAGTATGCGAAGAATAAAATATCGGCAACACCTTCCTTTTGGAACGTTTTAATTTAATGGCAGACTTGAACGAGCTATTGAGAAGACTATACCACTTATCAGCATAGGACTCTATTGTGCAAGAATTAAGAGATACCAAATTGTACATAGATTGAAGATAAGTATTGAAAGTTTGGATGTTAAAAGAAGATTTGGAATAGGAACTTTGCAGCTCACAAGTCGGATGGACAGAATTAAAATTAAAGAAAATGGGGTAGTGGTCGGAGAAAATTTGATTGCCAACTGATACAGGTAAGTTTATTTCATTAGAAATAACGAGATCTAGGATATTTTTGTTCTTATGTGTCGCTTCAGTAACAAACTGCAGAAAACCATTTTCGATAATGATTTCAAGAAAAGAGCGTTCATTTGTAGAAGAAGAGGAGTAAGTATTCCAATCAATAGAAGGAAAATTAAAGTCCCCGAGAAGGTAAAAATTATAGGTATTTCCGTATCCGTATTGCTGTAAAATTTCTTCAATCTTCAACAAGTAGGACTCAATGCAATTTAGGAGGAGTTGAATATTAACAGAATAAATAGAAGACATGGGAGGGTTATAGATGAGAACAAAGAAGGAGGGTAGTTCGCTTAATACAACACATGAAACGGCAAATTCAAATGACGGAATGGTAATATTCATAGCTTTGAGAGGGTCGTTGGCCGATTGTGCAATAAGTAGACCACCGTGCTGTCTTCGTTCTCGATCTGTTCTACATATAGTGATATAAGAAGAGCCAAGAAAAATTTCAGAATCATCAATGTCGGGATTAAGCCAAGTTTCTGTAAGAAACACCAAAGAAATCAAATTAGTATTACAGAGACTAATTAATTCGTATCTCTTATCGAGTGGACATATAGATTGACAATTTAACAGTAAGCAATTCGTAGATTCTAGTCAATTTGAGGATATGTCAACTGGCGCGCCTTTATAGTAAAGTTTAAGATTTTTGATTCGAAAATCTTTCTTGTTTTTCGCCTCGGAAGTAATCATTTGATATCGTTTGGCCAGAAGATTTTTCTCAGTTTGACGATCCGAATGTGAAAGGAACTTTTTAATATACACTCGGTTAATGTAATTCTGAAGGTAGTGACTACGAGCAAAGCAGTTATTTAAGAATCGGTCATTAGAAGTTGTAACAAGGAGGGGTCGACATCTTGGTCTATCAGAAGCTAATTCATTTGGAGAAGATTTAGTAATCTTTCCAAGGCGTCGAGTCGCAGTGATATTATTCTCTGGATGCAATCCCATATGTTGCATTATTCCATCAATTTCTGTTGAGTCGTTTTCAATTTGCTTAAAATAAGAGCTTTCGTTTTCAGGAATACCAGTAATAACAAACTGCAGTTCAGTATTAGGTAACGATTTCTTACTGCCGGATACTATATCACTATAAGAAGGTAAAGATTTAGTGACCGCTTCTTTGACATTTTCATTCACGCCAGGGATAACTTCACTGATAAGTTTAGGGACAAAGTTTAGGTTTAGTTTGATTTGCTTATCTGAAAGTTGACTAATGAGGTTAAACATCACTGAAATTGCACTAGCATAATCATCTACAATACGCGGAAAGATATATATAGCTGATACCAATCGAAATTTATTGGTCCAACACAAGGGCGGAATTAGGGAGGGGGAAGCCCCCCCCCCCTCAGGAATTCGACCCCGTGCCAACCCAAAGGGTCTCCCCTTTGTGCGAGTTTGAGATTAACTTTTCGGCTGAAGAACCCTAAAGTTTTTCTAAGGGCGCCTATGGCGCCTATATTTATTAAATTTGAATGGGAAGCGCGCGCCAAAAAAAACGCGATTTTTTGTTCAACATTTTCCAAAAAGTGCCTGGAAGCGCCCTTTTGGCCTGTTTTTTTTTTAATTTGGTTTAAGCTGCGGCGCAGAAAATTTAGTCTAAACAGAATTTCAATTTGGTCGATCTAAAAAATTTTTTTTTGAAAAAACCAGATCCGCCCCTGGTCCAATATATTTTAATTTTCCGAGGGGCGATCGATCCATCCATTAGAATTTATAACAAACTGCACATAACAAAAGGAAATTTTAAATTGTTCGTTTGCTTTGCAATATGTTTCAGGTAGATTGTCCAAAAATGGAGATATTTTGAAGATCAGTTTTTTCTAGATCAACCACAATTTTTTGATAAATCTCGATTTTGATTAAAAAAAACTCGAGATAAATAACAATTGATCAAAACTTTAACATTAGTTTTGTTGACCTTGTTGGCTCGTCGAGTATTTATTTCATGTTGAGGAAAGACTCTTGAGTGGGTCACTTAAGAGGGATCGGTTCTGCAGCTGAGTCAACTTTCCTGTTTCGCAAGTGTTTTCTGAAAATAACAATACCACCATCTACCATTTCCGCATCTTACGCAATATCATGTAATAAGAAGTATGCAAGTAAATCCGGACTAACTAAACTAATGTTAAAAATAATGAAATAAAGATGTTTGAATTAAAACAGCTTTCCTTTATTTCAATCGAAAAGTGATGCGAAGTCCAATGGACTTCGAATAGACGTGACTGGCAGGTATCTTATTAAAAACCAAAGGTCAAGATTAATATGAAATATAAGCACAATCACAACATTCCCCAATGCAAGAAAATTTTGTATCTGCAGATCGAAAACGTAGCCCAATTACAGACATACTACTTTCTCCTTTCATCCAAGGGGTAACGAAATTAGAAACAAAAAGTAACTTACTTACTGACGCCACGGAATATACAGAAGATATACAAGTGTACACGGAGATGCATATGTTAATAAATTACAGGCTACATTCAATTCAACAGATTTATACAGACAAGATAAAGTTTACTGTACAATTGGGGATATGTAAACAAAATGTGTATGAACACAAATTATCCATTGGATATGACTAATTAACTAAATTA